CTTGTTTTCCTTTTCTCTACAGTTTCTCAATATTTATTTTTATTTTTCGTTGAACAAGGCAATTTATTTGGGGGAGAATTTCCATCAAACTATTTTTTTCAGCTTTAATTCGGCTTCTGGTTAGTGTTTACTAAAATAGCAATTGTAATCTAGTTGAAACTCTGAAAAATTACTTTTACTAAAATAGCAATTGTAATCTAGTTGAAACTCTGAAAAATTACTTAGAATGTTTGTTTACAACTACTAGTGTTGGTTAACAGCTTAATATTAACTAGAACAGTTAACATTAATTAGATCTGCTGGGTTCCATCAAACCCGACTGTTGGGTTCGGTGGAACCCAGATTGATTGGATTCCACCGAACCCAGCTTTGCTGGTTCGACAAAACTCAACTCTATTGGGTTCCATTGAACCTAGCTGCTAGGTTCGATGGAATCCAGATCGACTGGGTTTGACAAAACTCAACTTTGCTGGGTTCAAAGAAGCCCCACTGTTGGGTTTAGAACTAGGTTCTGTTGATTTTCATTTTTCTTTAGAGTTGGGATTGTCAAGTTCACCATGTTTTCTCATTCTTCTTTCGATTCCCATTCCCAGTTCTTGATAAATTTGCATTTATATTAGAATTTGATTAGGGTTTGATTGACGTTGTTTATTGAGGAGTTAATTTGATGGAGTGGAGATGAGAGAACATTCAAGGAAGAAGATATGAGTTAAGATCGATTTTGCAGATGGACTCGAGGTAAGAGAGCGTTAGGGTTCACAGACATTTTATCCCTTTATTGGTTCTTTGCAGGTAATGTGAGACCCATTTGAGAGGTTTTGACCTTTTTAATTCGTGAAGATATGATATGGCATCATATTTTGTCCATATCAGCACATGTTTAAGTTATTTTCTCCACGTCATAAAAAAAAATATAAAAAATGTCACGTGGACAGAGTTAACGCTTCAAATTGACGGAATAATCAAAGTTGTGTAACTCTTAGAGTTGTGGGACCAAAAAATGCAAAAAATAGTTTAGGGACCAAAAAAATGCAACTCTATAAAGTTGAGGGATCAAAATTAGTATTTAACGTAGATTTAATCCTAGATAAATAAAAAAAAAAAATGAGAGAGAGAGAAGGGAGAGAGAAGAAGTTACAAGTTATTTTCCGTCTTGTTGGTGTTACTTTTTTTAATTTCTATAGTTTTTATCTTTTTCTCTTATAATTTACAACAAGTCTATCATTTTGGACTTTAATTGTTAATACACTTTTTTTTTT